TTCAGCCTCGATCCACTTGGTGAAGTAATCGATCGCAACCAGCAGAAACTTGTTTTAACCTTTAGCAATGGGAAATGGTCCAAGTATATCCATTCCCCATAAAGCAAACGGCCAAGGCGAGCTGATGCTATGCAATTGTTCGGCCGATGCGTGAATGAGGTTACCATGCTTTTGGCATTGGACACATCTCTTAACGAAGTGAGCGCAATCACTTTTGAGGGTCGGCCAATAGTAACCGGCTCGTAGTACTTTAGCTACGAGGGTCCTTCCACCCGAGTGGGATCCGCAAATTCCTTCGTAGACCTCTCTTAATATATAGTCAGCTTGTTCCAGCCCGATGCATTTGAGCAATGGGGTCGAAAAGCCTCTTTTGTACAATTCTGTACCTACAACCGAGAATCGTGCAACCTGAGTGCAGAGCTTTTTAGCGGCCAAAGCATCAGCTGGTTCCTTGCCATGCAGAATGAATTCGAGTAATTCAGTCATCCAAGGTGCGTTGGTTTTCGTGGCTTCAGTTTCGGAAACTGCTAGACACTCAGTGGCATCCACGCTGGGTTGGGGCAATTCAAGGTGAAGGGTGGTTCGCAATTGACTTTGTTTACGTCCATTGCTAGCTAATCGAGCCAGTTGATCTGGTGTGTATTTGACTTGCACTTCTTCGAATTGGTTACACATACTATGGAAAAGGTGGTAATACCTTAACAGATTGGCATCTTTGACTTGGAAGTGATTGTTCACTTGCTCGATGACTATCTTGGAGTCATTCCAACAAACTAGCCTTGTAACACCAACCTTTTGCGCCAACCTAAGTCCGGCCAACAATGCCTCGTACTCGGCTTGATTGTTTGATGCTTTGAAAGCGAAGTGGAGCCATTGCGTCTGAAAGATTTATCATCTACTGAAGAAAAATGTTTCATATAACAATAATGATTAAAGTTCTTGCATTTTCCTTTTCAAGATAGTTTCATTTAAAAATAAGCAATAGATAAAGTTCTTCAATATACTAGATATGTTAATCAAATTTTGTGTCTGCATCTGAAAGATAATTTCACTTAGAGGTTATTGGTGGACAAAGTTTTTCACAAAGATTTAATAAGTAAGGAAGATATGCGTCTAAAAGAAATATGACAAGTGGTGTACAACATTTTATACTGGTTCGCTCAGACTGAGTTACATACAGTCTCCTTCAACTGAAGGGTTCCACTAAATATGCAATTAAGTACATAAGTATTATCGACCACTTCTGGCCCGTTGACTTCACTCATCAACGCTAGTATTTTCTTATCAGCGGTTTCAAGCTAACATTGAGTATTATCGTCCACTCTTGGACCTGAGTATTCTCGACCACTCTTGGCCTGCCAACTTCACTCACCAGTGCTAGTATTTTCTTATCAACCTCTTTAAGCTAGCAATGAGTATTATAGACCTCCCAGGTCACGACCACTCCAGGTCACGAGTATTCTAGACCACCCAGGTCACGGCCACTCCTAGTCACGAGTATTCTCAACCACTCCTAGTTGGCTAGCTTCACTCACCAGCTCTAGTATTCTTAAACCACTTGTGGTTCCTCAAGTATTCTCGACCACTTCTAGCCCGCTAGCTTCACTCACCAGCGCTAGTATTTTCTTATCAGCCACTTCTGGTTAGTAGTGAGTATTCTCGACCACCTCCTGGCCCGTCGACTTCACTCGTTGACGCTAGTATATTCTTATCAGCCACTTTTGGCTAGCAGGGAGTATTCTTTGACTAACCTCTCTAGGCTTTACAAGTATTCTTTCCTTAGCCTCTTTAGGCTTTACAAACGATAAATGTATAATCAAGTTTGAGTGTTTGGGTTACTCTCACAGAGAGGATACATATATGATTTACACTCTCTAAGGATTCACTACCTTAGTCCTCCAGAGATTTTGAGTGTGTGGGTTACTCT